TTTCTCCTGGACTCCACCCTGTGCCTTTTTCCCTTGCTGATTTCATCCCGTTGCCTTTCGTGTAATAAACTGTAACCACAAGTGTAACAGCTATGCTGAGTCCTGTGAAAGCCTGCAGGTGGCCTCAGAGACCTCCAACACACATGTTCAATTAGATTCAGAGCTGGGTTTAGCAGGAAGATTCAGGCAAGCCCATTTTCAGCTTCCTTGCATCCCCTGAGGATTGCTCCTGCAGGGAGTACAGACAAGTGATCAGCCTCATAGGGTTGGGCTTGAGATCCCAAAACCTGGCTGCCAAGGTTAGTAGGCTCCTGCCTGGAAAAGAAAATCCCCTTCCCATAGACTGTAATTCTTATGAGAGGTAGCAGAGTGATATGGTTTGGCTGTGTCCCCACCCAAATCTCATCTTGAATTGTAGCTCCCATAATTCCCACATGTTGTGGGAGGGACCCACTGGGAGATAATTCAATCACGGGAGTGGTTTACTCCATACTGTTCCCGTGGTAGTGAATAAGTTTCATGAGATCTGATGGTTTTATAGGGGATTTCCCCTTTCACTTGGCTCTCATTGTCTCTTGTCTGCCACCATGTAAGACGTGCCTTTTGCTTTCCTCCATGATTGTGAAGCCTCCCCCACCACGTTGAACTGTGAGTCCATTAAACCTCTTTTTCCTTATAAATTAGTCAATCTCAGTATGTCTTTATTAGCAGTGTGAAAACAAGCTGATACACAGGGCATCTGAGTAGAGGTGATTGTGAGGAGGCTTGCAAGAAAGTTCATAGAACAAACATAGCCATCTCCTCTGGCTTCCTTTTTAGAAATGGGTTTTATTTTGAGCCCCTGTATTTGTCCACAGTCTCAGGTTCTTCTTCAGGTCTTCTGATGGCTCCTTTGTCACCAGGTTCTAAAGACTTCTTGTCCCAATGTCAGAATAACTCTAGAGAACCCTCAGTGCTTGCAGATGGCAGGTTTTAACTATTCTCAAAGGCATACTAGCATGAGGAGATAATTTATTCAGCCAATGTTCTCCCCACCCTCCTGAGCCTAAGACAATAATGGACTCTTATGTTATGGAGGTCAGAAAGCTTTGAACTACTAAAGCAAGACCACTGTTTTTGACCTTTCATACTAGTGGCTTACTTGAGCCACAAGGATTTCTAGTGTACCCAGCCCAGGATGCTGGCAGGATTTGGCAGAGAGACTGGTTGTCCTCTCAGCCTTTGTTCGTAATTGGCTTCCATATCCCACTATTGACTTCACACTCAAGATTCACTTCAACCCTTCTTGAAAGTTTTTTCTACCCAAATCACCTCTTTTTTTTTTTTTTTAATATAGTTTTAATACAGAGTCTCGCTCTGTTACCCAGGTTGGAGTTCAGTGGCATGATCTTGGCTTACTGTAACCTCCTCCTACCGGGTTCAAGCAATTCTTCTGTCTCAGCCTCCTGAGTAGGTGGGATTACAGGCACCTGCCACCAAGCCCAACTAATTTTTGTATTTTTAGTAAAGACAGGGTTTCACCTTGTTGGTTAGGCTGGCCTTGAACTCCTGACCTCAGGGGATCCACCCACCTTGGCCTCTCAAAGTGTTGGAATTATAGGCATGAGCCACTGTGCCTGGCCTAAATCACCTCTTAAAGTTAGTTTCAGATACCTGGTTACTGTTATTGATTGATTGATTGATTGATTCTTGTGCTTTAGCCACCTGAATAGCTGGGACTACAGGGGCATGCCACCATTCCCGACCAATTTTTGTATTTTTTGTAGAGACGGGGTTTCACCATGTTGGGCAGGCTGGTCTCGAACTCCTGACCTCAGGTAATCTGCCGGCCTCAGCCTCCCAAAGTGCTGGGATTACAGATGTGAGCCACTGTGCCTGACCTTTGTTTAAAGTATTAGTGATTTAAAATGTTTCATTGTAAACATTTGCAAACACAGTAGGAAGAATTATGAGTCTCCTTACACCCATTATCCAGTGTCCATGATTGCATTGTAGGTAACCTTGAGGCT